TCGGTCATATAGATGTAACAGCACCATGAATGCGTAAAGTGTTTTTCAAGGACAGTGTTGAAGTAAATTTCTTGGTAGACTCAGTGAGATATTCTAATCAATCAAAAGTGCACATGATACAAAATATTCACCCTACTTTTCAGATGGATAACGAGCGAATAAGATTTGTACTCATAATAGTGTATTTTGTCCTTTCATCGAGAGAAGTATCTTCTTGGGAAAAATCAGGAAACATGCTCTTGAGCATGTCCTAGATGTACTACAGACCACTACCGCTACCACTCCGATGTACTAGAGGACTACATCCGGAATCAGCGGAGTACAAAACATACACCAAAATTCATCATTGTATGAAAGGTAACTTCTCTACCGTTCTCACTATCCGAGCGGCAGCCATGTTGGGCACCACTTTGGTTCTTAGAGAACTTTTATGGGCCTTTTTGGGTATTTGGACCTCATTTGTGAAATTTACGACCCCAAAAACCCATGCAGGGACACCTCACTCGACGATACGAGCCTCAACAAAATATTTCACCCCGCAACGGCAGCCATTTGGCCGCCATATTGAAATTTTTGGGCTTCAATAAACCTGTAGTAAAATTCTGACCTCATCAGTTAAATTTACGACCCAAAAAACCCTAAAAAAGATATCCTACTCGGCACTTTTACGCAACTCGGAGATTTGACCCTATCGTGGAAATTTTGGCGGCCATATTGGATTTTGGGCATCCCTTTGAGCCGGAGACAATTTTGGACCTCAAATTCGGATTCTACGACCAAAATTACACAGCGATGGACAAAACAAATTCCAACATCTTCAATCCCCGAGCCCCCATTTCGGCCGCCATGATGAATTGGAGGGGTTGGACGCAAAATTGAGCTTGACAACATCAAAATTATTTTTCCACAAATCGAAAAGAAGAGATTAGGCCATTTTCCACACTTACTCCATTTACTATTCCACGGGAGGCTTCTTTTCAACATATGTCCGTGGACTAATTTATGCAGGCCTGCGCTGTGCCGCCGCCGCGCGGATCGCAGTGGTGCGGAAAGCTTAAATCATAGACCCATCATGTAATATATCGTTGGAAAGCTTAAAACACGCTCTTTAACGTGTTACGTATTTAAAGTGGCATTAATTCTGCGATTTTAAAAGATATATGGGTTAAAAGCTTTTTTTTTTAAACACAAAAACCGGTTTTTATGAAAAAAACACCATTAATATTGTCGAAATCAAAATTTTTGTGATTTTGTTACATTAATCTTTCAATTATCTATCAAACAAAAAAAAGAAAAATGAAATCGGTTCAGTGGATCTCGATCTATAGCGGCTCAAAGTGCGCGCCCGGACGTTATTTCACTACTAGGGCCTTATATTCATGCTGTAGGCTGTAATTATCGATATTTCCTCCTCCCCCCACCCTTCCCCTCCAAAAGATAGTTTTTTTAAACTTCGTTATGCAGGGTGTCCCAGACCTCTCGTACCAGGTCTTGTTCTCGGTTGGTTTAGGTAGTACGAAGTGGGGGACAGCGGGGTTGAATATTGAATTGACCCCAAGATATCCGAATTGCATGGTCCCGAAACCCCGCATGCCCCCCTTGGGGGGAATAGAGGGGGTCACGATCCCGAAGTCGGGGTCCCCGATAGAACTGCGATTTGATTGCATTAAAATTGGAATTAACGAACTTTTTTACGTGAAATTGACCCCTAAGAATCCAGAATCGGACCACTTAACGCCCAAAAATAATCTCTTAAAGACGGGGACAGCGGCCCCCTCCATAATTTCCCTTTGGTCAAAAATGACGCAGCTTCTCCGGAAAAAGATGATATCCTAGGTACTCGACCCCAAGGAATCCGATTTTCATGGTCTCGAAACCCCCCTAGCCTCCCCTGGGGGTTAAAAGGGGGAGGCACAATGTCTCCCGACTTAAGGGATTGAGCCCCCGTCTGTACCCCCCCCCCCCCAGGGGGCATGGGGGGTTAGGGGACCATGCAATTCGGATACCTTAGGATCAATTCCCTATTCAACCCCGCAGTCCCCCACTTCGTACTACCTAGACCAACCGAGAACAAGACCTGGTACGAGTGGTCTGAGACATCCTGTATAACGAAGTATAAAAAAATATTTATTGGAGGAGAAGGGTGGGGGAAGGAGGAAATATCGATAATTACAGCCTACAGCATGAATACAGGGAGCGGCAAAAGTCCCGGGACCCCTGTTTAATTTTTTTACGGCTGCAGCTAGGAAAATGAAATTTGGGGGGTAGTCCTAGGTCAATGAAATCTACTTTTTGACCCCCCCAAAATTTTTGGGGGCTCCCCTTTGGGGAGGTTACGGACCCTAACTTTTTTTTTCAAATAGGAAGACCCCCTTTGTGATACCTCGTTTGAAAGAGCATAAAAAAAGAAAATTTTTCGCGTAAACCCGAAGTCATTATCTCAAACCGTTTCAAAATGGCGGCCGGTCAAAGTTCAAAATGGCCGAAAATTGGCACCTCTGCTATTTGCACATGGATTTGCTTGAAACTCGGTATCTGCAGGTATTTGGGCACGAGAAAAACGAATTTGACGTTAGATTTTTAAAAAAACCCTAATTTTTCAAAATGGCCGCCGGTTTAGGCTCAAAGTGGCCGAAAATTTGGCAAACTCGATGTTTTGGGTTTGCTTAAAAATCTAACGTCGAATTCGTACTTCTCGGGTCAAAATACCCCCAGAAACCGAATTTCATCGGCAAAAAATCGAGTTTGTCTAATTTTCAGCCACTTTGAGCCTAAACCGGCGGCCATTTTGAAAAATTAGGGTTTTTTTTAAAAAAATCTAACGTCAAATTCGTTTTTCTCGTGCCACAATACCCCCAGAAACCGAGTTTCAAGCAAATCCATGTGCAAATAGCAGAGGTGCCAATTTTCGGCCATTTTGAACTTTGACCGGCCGCCATTTTGAAACGGTTTGAGATAATGACTTCGGGTTTACGCGAAAAATTTTCTTTTTTTATGCTCTTTCGAACGAGGTATCACAAAGGGGGTCTTCCCATTTGAAAAAAAAAAGTTAGGGTTCGTAACCCCGCCAAAGGGGGGCCCCCAAAAATTTTTTGGGGGGGGGGTCAAAAAGTAGCTTTGACTGTCTTTGAAAAAGTCTCAAACTTTTCTCACAGTGCCTCAGCCTTGACCACGAAGTTACCGAAGTTCTAAAATGATTTAAGACTCTTGTCTCAAAGGTCCCAGCCAGGTATTACCATTAGATCACCTTAGGTGGCGTTTGCTCGCTCATCCGGTGAGCCACTTTAGCGGAAGGAAGTTTCCCGGTTAGCGATTAAAAAGTCTTCCAGTGGAGGCACATTAGCGGTATGAGGTTTCCCAGTTAAAAGTTGAAAAGTCATCCGGTGGAGGCAAATAGGGGTAGGAAGTTTTCCGCTTAGCGGTCAAAAAGTCATCACGTCAAGTCACCTTAGCAATACTTGGAGAATTTTCTAATCAGGATTTGGTACCGTCCAATAACGTTTTATTCGACGGCACCGTACCGCCGAATAAAGCCAGCCATTAATACAAAAAAGTTGACCCAAAATATGAGAACTTTGCCGGAGGTGGCAGAATTTTCCCACTTTTGCTCTACCTCGGGAACGGAACATATCCTTCAGAAGATACAGAAGATTTGGACGTCATTGATTTGCCTTAGGACATCATGACAGAAAATCCTGTAACTAGCGCAATGTACGTCAAAAATATAGCATCATTGACTGCAACCGAGCTAAAAAGTGTGCCACCCTGGCACCAAAAAATGACCAATGCTATGAAATTAACTTCAAAGTAAATTCTATACTACCAGACTGATCGAGAGCGTACTGCAGTGTCAACAGGGTCATTGTGGATGAGGAGAGGGAGGTTCTTAACATTCCAAAGGAATTATGGATAGTTTTCATATGAGCTGCTTACCTCCACATGAGGTGAAGTTGAGACAGGGAGTGGCCGTTTTGCTTTAAAGGAGTCTAAATGTTTCACAGGGGTTATTAAACGGAGGTTATCACTCTGAGTCCTCCGTAGCTCCGTCTCTTTGAAGGAAACCTCAGTCAGTTCCCTTCCGAAGTTTAGTAATAGTCATGAAGTGCTGGTTCATTGTAATAAAAAAAAGATCTCTGGACTCCAGCAATGGTATGTGATAAAATAGGTAATATCTACATGATATTACCTATTTTGATTAAAGCAAAATCAGGCGTTGTTAAAGTGTTGTAAGCTGTTTCGAAGTTTCAAGTCTAAGTTTGTTTTCCAGTATTAGGATTCGCAATTCTTCTAAAAGTAGAGCTGTTATTCTTCTGTTGAACACTGTGTGGTTGGTGACGAGGTGGAGATGAAGGAGAGGGGAGGACCTTATGACGTTTTGAATGCATGAAAATTGTAAAAGTAAAATTGTTTCAGACTACGCTTATAGTTGATTTTAGCTTCGTAACCCAAATCCTCCAAAAATTCCTGAAATACCCCAAAATTGTGATCCGCGGATGTGAAAATAAAGAAGTATGTAGGAATCGCTTCTTGTTGACATTTAAATACATAAATATGTCTTCGGTATACATTTACAGGCTACAAATACAGCCTAAATTAACTTTTACAGCATATTACCAAGCAAGATAGGCTCCTAAAAATGAAAAATTGCCTTCTAAAGGAAAGGCCATTAACATAAATATGTGTACAGTATACATTTACAGGCTACAAATACAGCCTAAATTAACTTTTACGGCATTTTACCTCTATCTTACCTCAAGATAGGCCCCCAAAAAGAGAATATTTAAGGAAACGGCCATTCTACTGATTCTGAAGTTTGTTTTTTCTATCAGCGGGTCTACTCTATCATAGTATTTCAGCAAAAAATCTTCGGTAGAATGCAAGTGCTATTTAAATCGTTTAAACCACACCGTGCAAACAGACACAACAAGAATATTTTAAATTATTTATGATGCCTTGATTTAAAAGAAAAGAAAAGAAAGAATAACAAAGATATAACTTACTCTTAATTTAGATCGAAATATCTGTTTCTTTGGAATTTTAAGAGCAACAAGCCCTTTCTGTAGATCAATGAAGAGATCCCTGACAAGAAACGTCCACTCGTTGCATTTGATTCCGTGGTAAATGTGGGGTTTCTAGAAGTCAGAAACACAGAGTTCATGAGTATTTGATGAAGAATCTAAAACTAGCTTGGCAGATTTTTTTTTTCGTGGGGGGTTTTCACGCGTGCATGTATGTATGATCGTATGACCTACGGTTGTGGGGCCATTCTGTGTGACCCCACAACCGAATGTTTGTCATAAAAGGCATTTATATGGCCACAAAAATAGACTGTTAGGTAAGATTGGAAGATTTGTGGCTATTATGGCGTTTGATTGGGTCACTATTCTAACGACACACAAATCCGATTGTCCCACAACTATTATCGTACAGAATTGTGGGTGTATGGGTGTGAGGGATTATGGAAAAGAGTCGTTTTTGTAAAAATCCCAACGTTACGGCAATTATACAGAGCTCGTTACATCGTTGCTATGTCTTTCCTGACTGTTACCGACTGTTCCTAGGTACAATGATTCTTGCGGGTGAAAAAGTTACTGATGGAGTCAAAAAAAATTAGACCTATTTTCTTTCTCAAATCCAAAGGTATTACCTTTCAATCCCTAGGAAGTTTCCTTCAGTGAGCACTCTAGTTGTGCTGCAATATCTGTTTTAAGTTCAGAACCAGGAACTGCAGAACGCGCAAATTTCTGATAAATTAGGGTAATTTGCACACTGAATATTTTGCTAAATTTTCCTTCGGAATCTCTTAATGGGAGACGCCCCCAGACGCCTGCACTGTTTCAGCCAAAAATGAAAATATTCTCTAAAGCTCTTTAAAAATAAAATCGATGTTTGAAATTGGCTCAAAAACTTTTGACCGTCTTGATTTGATGGAAAAAATAGGATGTGCATACCAACTCCTACACAATTATGGATGAGAAACCGATTGAGTGGGGTTTCGAATCTCTAAGGACCTCTACGGGCCCAAAACTTGGCGGTTTTTCACATTTTTGGGGTTTTCTGGATTATAGGAAGTCATATATATTGTCATGGATGTCGATTCATTGATGTATATGTAAAACTAAACGAGGAATTGAATGCACTTGGTCCTAAGTTACTAAGAGGCTTTCATGGTTGCCTCGTTGCCCTTTTTTATAGTGAAAACCTTTAAAAATTCATAACCACCCTGCATCTCAACCAATTTTAAGGAACTTTTTTTTTAATGTTCCTCTTAAATAGAGCTTTCTAATTGTGTATAGTTTTTTGGATAGACTTGGCACTGGACGGCAATTACACAGTTTTCACAGTTTTCGTGTTTGTAGGTATTTTCAATTTACTTCAGTCCTGAAATCTACAGAATTCGAACAAAAAACCAATTTAAATTAAAGTTCAGCTGTTTACCTTTGTAACGAGCACAAGATCATCCCGGGCAAATGTCCAGTTTCTGAAAAACAACTGCTCAAAGTTGGTTTTACGCAATCGAAAACCACTGACAAGGCTGCCTGGCGTTAAATTAATGGTGTAACAGGGCTCCATTTATAAGGAACAGTCAGACATCTGAATCAGACTGTTTTTTCAGCTTAGGCATCCAGGTTGCAACATTGCCGTTATTTTAAGTATAAATCTTTAAAAATTCAATTTCCCCTGCATTTGACTTGAATTTGATGAACTTCTTTGGTAAAATTTCACTCTTAGATAGAGCAATCCAGTGGTGTATAGGTCAATGGGTATATTCAGCACTGGGCGTCACGCGGTTTCAACGGTTCATTAGAAAATTCCTACAAACACAAACTTTTGTGCGATTTTTTTTTTTTGAGATGGGCACAGAGCTGCCTTTTTTCCCCGGAGGACCATTAAGTGATCTCTCTCATCACCATCATATTTTACTAATTTAGAGGCTGGACAAACAGGGTCACGGCCCTAGTCAAAAGTTAGAAGAAGAAAAAGAAGTCAAATTTTTGTGTTTACCAAAGACTATTAAAACCGCGTAATCGCTGTCCAGTGCAAAGTCAACCCAAAAAACTATACACAATTAGAAAGCTCTATTTAAGAGGAACATTTAAAATACAAAAGTTCCTTGAAATCGGTTGAGATGCAGAGTAATTATGAATTTTTAAAGGTTTTCACTATAAAAAATGGTGACGTGCTAACCTAGAAAGCTTTTCAGTGACTCAGGCCCATTCAATTCTTCGTCCAGTTTTACATATAAAGTGATGAATCGACACCCATAACAACGTCCTTCCTATTGCCGAAATAAAGGGGAAAATGGGTCTAAAAAATCCCACAAATTTGAGAAACCGCCAAGTTTTGGGCCCATGAAGGTTCTAAGCGATACTGAACCTCTCTTAATCGATTTCTCATCCACAGTTACGTAGAAAGCAGTATGCATATCCTTTTTTTTCATTGAATCAAGACAATCAAAATTTTTTAAGCCAATTTCAGGTCCAAAAATACAAACATCGATTTTATTTTTGAAGAACTCTACAGAATATTTTTATTTTTGGCTAAAACAGTGCAGGAGACAGCGAGATACCTCAATATGAGATCCCGAAGGAACCTAGCGTAGACAAAGAGATTTCATTTAAATTTATTTAGACTAACCACGGATGATTTTCCTTAGAAATGACTTAGGGTACTAAAAAAGGCAACAGTTTGCGACTCGTGGTTGATTCTGGGGCATGGATGATCTTGGATTTCGGAACATACAGGCTCCCCGGGCGCTGCGTCAATTTTGAAAAATCATAACTCCGCTCCAAATCATTTTCTTCGGATGAACTTGGGCTTGTTTTAAAGCGTGGACGGCCTCTATTCACGAAAAACAGTTTAGTTATTATTCTTGTGATCCCTATAACGCAACAGCTCAAAATGTTAAAAATTGGAAATTTGAGGTATGACAAGGTGGCAACAATGGATGTCAATTTCAGAATGGACCAATTTTATAAAGATCAGCTGAGAGCTGGTAGTTCCCTCTTCCCGGAGACCAAATCATCTCTCTGATCCATTTTGAGACCAAGATCATCTCTCTTCGATAAACTGTTCACGGGATGTGCTCGTTTTGAGTAAGACTTAGAGCCCCTATTGATTCCAAAAATCATCAGTGAGTGTTTCAGACTCGGAAAGTGCTCCTCTATCAAGCCTGGAAAATAGGCCAATTTTTGAATCAAAGTACCGCAATGTCAATAAATAAGTACGTATTTCACAAATTATGTCCACCGTCTTTTTCCAGTCATTTCAAAGAGCTTGATGCAAAAACGGCTTCTTCCCCCCCCCCCCCCCCCCCCCCCCNTCTTCAAACTTTGCCCATTGATTACTCATACTCGAGCACTTCTATCCCCCAAGTTTCAGACGAGATAAGACTGCCGGTCGGTGCGGGAGTTCCTCTGATTTCCTTGTTGACACACAGCACTCAAGTGCTGAAATGAGGAGTCTTTCTGGCTTTTTATCGCCGAATAATTGAATCTTATCGGCCGTTTTTTTGCGAAAACGGTGCATCGTAGAAAGTTGGCGCAATGATAACTTTTGATCTGCATCTTGAGGAGAATCGAATGCCATAAAAAAAAATTAAGGTTTCTTCATGCAGCTTCCCATAAGAGGTGTGCGGGATCCTTTTTATTTAAACCAAGACAAGTTTTTTAAATTGTTCGTCTATTTTTGCATCCAATGAGTGGTCCATAAAGCTGGGGGGTCAAACGGTTCCGGAGTCATGAGCGATTGAAGTTTCCGCTCAATGCGCGCCAAAAAGCCGGATTTGGGTGTTATTAAATCAGATTGAATGTTCAAACCGTGCAAAATACATTTTCAGGGATTCTTGAGAGCTGCTGAGTTTAGAAATTACAGATACTTTAAAAAAATTCACTTTTTCAAAATTGCAGCTTTGCAGAACTACTTTAAAGGCCCACCGAGCGGCCAGATTCAAGCTCCAAAATCAACCTTTTAGGTTCCTAGGTTCACAAGATTTGCCAGTTCTTCTGAAGGCATGTTTAGACCAGTGATTTTCAAGGTCAGGTTTAGAGTAATTTCTATCACTACACATTGCATCTTTAAGATTTAAAAGCACATGGAGCTACAGTTAAATTCTTCAACAATTTCAAACTGCCTTCAAAGGGCAGAAAAGTTCAAATATATGCGATATTTTCCTTCATATTGTGAGGGCATGTGAAAATGTAACATCAGCAACAGAAAAGCTACTAAACTTGTTGCCATTTAATGTAGAGGCCAGTTTAGAAGTTCATGTTTAATGAACAATCGAACATGTTCTTCTTTAACACTCCAGTAGTGTCAGAATATATTTAGATACTTCAGACATCATGTTATACAAAGTCAAAAAAGTGTAACATCTGCAACGTAGAGGACATTACACGGCGCTAGCAACAAGTAATCTCACATTTAACGTTTTTGATGAGCTCTTATTATAAATACAGGTACACTATAGCAGCCCTATTACGTTCCATTTTATTTTCGCTTATAAAGTGTGTTTAATTTTAAAGTTAACTTCGGTACAATGTGTCTTATTGTTTTCTTAAATAGTTGATAAATTTGTCCTGATGATGTGCATTGAAATGCAATTTAATTATTGACCGTAACTATTTTTAACCTTTCTTCGTGTTCAACAGCACGGTTATTAAGTCCATCCTGCAGCTCCTACTATACTGGCGTTACTATATTGCACACGCAGGAGCCTATATTGGGAATGCCGCTTCTTGTTGCTATCTATTGATGCCTGCAAAAATTACTTTGCCATGATTTTTTCATCATGTTATTATGAAATATATTCATGTACTGTGAAAAATGCGGAGGAAATAATCTGGGCAGCGTATTTGGCCAATTTTGGATTTTTTGGTGATTGTCTAGGTTAAAATTTTATGTGCCGCCTGAGTTGGATGGGATGATTTCAAAATTTTGACGGGCACCGCATCTGCACCCCCACTTTTAAAGGTGGAGCCCCCATTTTACCTACCAAGGCGGGCAGTAGGGGCTTCGGGAGGATGAAATTGAGATTCCTTGGGGTCAAATTCCCTTTCATTTCTGCCCTATCCGACTTCGTTCAACCTATAATAACTTTAAAAATAGCACTAGCACTATAAAAGGTGATCTGAGACACCCTGTATTTTTCTAAAAAAGTGCATTTTTATTCTCATGACAAACGTAACATCTCCTACTTTTTTGATGTTCTGTTCATTTACACAAATAATTTGTGCTAAATTTCTTTTTAAGTTGTATTTTAAAGATAGAAACTTGGCTCTACCATCACCTCAGATATTTACTTTGAAAAAGCTTCTTACAGCTATTTGTATTGAATTTGAGGTCCAATTCATGTACCATTGTGACAATCGGCTTTCCTCCTTCATGCTGTTACCTTTTATTTCAATTACTTCATCAACTGCGCGATTTTAAGCCTATTTTGGGTCCAAAGTTGGAAAAAAATGCATAAAAATCAATAAAGCAGGAGCTGAGAAAGGATGTTAAGCCAAGGTCGCCATATTGGATTTTGAAATTTTGAAAATTTAACGAAACATTCGAGTTCCATGCCAGAAAATATCCCCTCACACAGAGGTTTACAAAAGTTGATCGAACAGTAGCCGAGATGGAAATATGGGCCGTATCCGCCATCTTGGATTTTGAGATTCAAAAATTTTATAAAGAATACGAGTTTCTCATCAAAGAATACTTTCTCACACCCATTTTCACAAAAATCGATCATACTGGAACAGAGATGACATTTTAAGGCACGGCCGCCATCTCGGATTTTGAAAATCTGACTACAAATTCGAGTTTTGTGTTGAATAATACCCCTGATGCCGAGTTTCACAAAAATCATTTGAACAGGAGCCGACACAGCATTTTAGATCACGGCCGCCATCTTGGATTTGGAATTTTGAAAATCTGATCATTGATTCGAGTTTCCCATCGAAAATTACCCACCAAAACCGAGTTTCTATTAAGTAGATCGAATATAAAAGAAAAAGAAAAAAAGAGAGGAAGTCAAAGAGACATACGATGAGTGAAGCGAATGACCTATAAGATGGAACATTAACATACAATTAAAAATGGAAGACAGTTTTGAAGAGATACTCGGGGACTGATACTTGAGGAAGTCACGCGACACGATTCAACCTCAGTGCGGTGCTCGTAAACAACCTCGTATCTCCAATGCATTACTATAGGGGGAAACAATTTTTCGCTCTTGTGGGCGTCCTGGTCAACGTTTTCGTATCAGAATAATTTTGATCAAGTTATCATGACAAAAGCGAAGCGTGTACCAAGTTTAAAGAAAATCGCTTCGGCCAATTTTTCTCTACAGGGGGCAGCGTGAGTGGGAACAGTAGCTTCATATAGAAAGATTAAAATTTGAGCTTAAAAATAAAGAAGTATCAGGAGTAGCCTACAATATCAAGTGCCAACAGGCCGATTATTAAAACGATATCAACTCCACATATGTTGTTCGTGTTGCGCAATAGATTAGGCGGAAAGAAAATATATATCTTAACAACACAGAAGCATGGAGCCGCCTAAGCGCCTGCAAGCTGAAGACACCTCTGGAGCTCCCAACAAAGGCTTAGTCGAAAAATAACCTCTAATTTTTTTTGTATGATTCAGTGAAAAGTGAATTTTTGAAATGCTAAAGTGCAACTTTGATTCGCGCAACAACGTATACAGACGCGTTTGTTAAGTCCTCATTGCGCAGCGCTGAATATCCGATGGTTTGATCCGATAACCGACCATACGTTAGCCAAGTCAGTTGATGGGTTGTTTACGACCAAATCTATGTCATCAATAAGCGGATAAGTAATAATGGCAGACTGACGTCATTTTGCTGACTTCAATGGTGACTTACACAATGCATCTACGTCATCACTGGTCATGCTGCATTTTGATTGGTTGAAACACGTTTAAAAATTCAGTGAGCACGCAACTGACGACGACAATGCTGCCAATTTGCTGTGCCTTTTCGAGTAGACAGTATGTCTTGTAGTGTCGGATCTTAGAGTTGAAAAATCGTTCTCAGCTAACTCATACATAGAGTCGATTGAGCTTTGTCGCCTGTTTTCAATAATAGGCCAGCATGACTGTGAAATTTGGTTTGGTCACCTAAGATCTTTCACCTACACAATTTACACCTACATGAGATCTCACCTTCATGACTTTTGACCTATTGAGATTTTGAGTCTAATTGCAATTTGCAGAGTTTCATGGAGAGTACAGAATCCAGGGCAAGTAAGGTGGATTTGCAATACCCTATGTTTTCACAGCTCCCATGGTAACGTAGATTTTCTTACAAAAAATTTAACAGCTAGTAGAGCGAGGACTTAGACCAATTTTTAAAAATGTATTGCACCTAAATTTTAGTGTCTCGATTTCTATTATTTTTCATACTTTTAAAATTTAAAGTGTTGAGACTTGTTTAAAGATGGCATGGTCAAAATGCTTGTTCCAACATCTAGAGGAGGGCATGCCTTAGAATACTGAGGGTACATGTGCCATGAACAGAGCAAGGGGAAGAAGAGGACTTATTGAATTTGCTCCCAAAAACCTTTGGCACAACCCTTGGACAAAGGCAAAAATTATTTTGCAGATAATGTCAGATGGCCTTCATCTTGTTTTATTCAATTTTGCAGCATCCTGGAAGGGACCTGATGGTAAATCTTTGGTTGGGGACTCGAGGTGTGTTTTGGAGAAGTTAAAGACTTAAAAAAAGTGTGTGCGAAATCGTTTAAGGTTTGGTCCTTTTTTGAGCTAGATTTACTGTTGCATTAATTGTACAGAGTGAAGCACTTTCAAAAAATCTTTCTTTACCTACCTACTCAACTGTTAAATTGTGAGTATAAAGATAAATGAGCTACTTGAAATGCCTAAATATCTAAAATGTGTCTAAATATTGTGTCACTGGGATGATCTTTCAAACATAATTAAAGTCTTCGTTGCTGCATTTCTTTTGCAAATCCACAGACATGGATGGACAAAAATATGCATGTAATTTAAAAGAGGAAAAGGAACTAAATTTACAACTAACGTTTTCAACAAACCTTAGCTTTTATGAAAAAGTTTCCGCAGATGTAATTAAGGAACCAAAATTCTTTCTTCTCTAAATCCATAAGGGTTACTTGCAAACAGGAGCTAGCATCAACATTCAATTTGAGATCCACACTCAAGACAAAATCTGAATTGAACTTAGCATTTAGAGTAACGCCTTCATCACCTGCCCAGGAAACAAAAATAATACAAAAGATAAACTAAAATCTTAAGAATAATCAGTGAATTTTTTGTTTTGAATTTTTGATGCAAGTTTAGTTGTTCCATAATAGACCTGCTTCTGAATGTAGATACCTTCCCTTTTTGATCATTTTTTGGAGAGAGATTACTGCCGAGATATTATTTTGATTGCTGCGTGAATACACGTCGCTCAGTAATTGTAAATTTGATAAAGAGTTCAGGATAAATAATTGCACTTGTTCAATTGTAATATTAATCGCTTAATTTTTCCAATTTTCCAAAGGAAAAAAATTTCAGATTTTTTTTTCTTTTACCTTTTCACTTTATGCTCTACTTAATTGAAAAATCTGTTGGCCACCGAAAAGGACACTCTGAGTAAAGATTGTAGGAGTGGTACTGTTAGGTCCGAACTTTTTGTTTCTCTTTAGGCAAGTTCAGTTGTTCAATAATGAATTTGTGCCTATATGTAATTGTGATCTAAGTGTGTAATTTAATGCGTCATGTAATGACTATAAATTAATTGTAAATGCCTCTATTTGGAATGGCGAATTTAAAGTAATTGGTAAACAATTTTTTTGTTAGAAATTGTCAAAGATGCTCTTTCAGTTATTTTTCAATGAATGTTCTTGTCTGCACTCAGTTTTCTGCATAGAATTTAGTTCTTATTCTTGCCTTTTATAGTGTTGAAATACAGTTGTGTTGATTTCCTCCAAACATGTAGCCTCTCCCCTCGAGTTTCTCTTGGGCAAGCTACCTCTGTTAATAATTTGCACACTCTGTTTCTTTTGTTTAAATCCACTTGCGCACTCGCGATTTCGCGAAGTCGCCTTGTGTTGGTCAACACTTATTTTTGGTGTCGTGTCGAGCTTCACTTAACATGTAGCCTCTCCCCTCGAGATAATCCTGGGCATGCTACCTCTGTTACAATATTGAACTCTACCTTTTTGTCCTTACAGAACTTGCTTGTCCTCCGGCCCGGTACCCCTGGTGTTGACACATAAGTTTGTCTTTCTGTAATAGGAAAAAGGCTCTCCCCGATGCTTGGACTTAGGCAAGCTTTACACACCAAATTGTGAGACTTGGTCCAATTGATCGATTAATCAATTTTCTTTTCACAATATTCCAACTCGATAACTTAGTGCATTCAAGACCAATTCTTGAATTTTTTTTTTTACTCAAAACATGCCCAGCAAATGTTTCTGAAGTATAGATTCATGCGCCTTTTTCTTTGTTCTCTCATAGGACACTGTTTTGTTAACGATTTTTGTTTGTCTGCTGTTAATCAGAATTCTTGTAAAGAATTTTTTGTTGTTAATTGTTTCATCAATCTGAATTGCAGTATGTTGTAATTCTTGTAAAGAATTATTTGTTGGTAATTGTTTCATCAATCTGCATTGCAGTATGTTGCGTGCTGTATGTATGTGTTAAGCAGAGAACAATATTAATGGAAACTGTACAAATTTATTTTTGTCAAAATTTTGTACTCCTTGTAGAATTTCTGGTTAATCTCTGCAATAAATTGTAAAACTCTTGTAAAATTTTGCGATCCTTGTAATTTTTTATAGTAAATTTTCTTAACTGTTACGCCCCTCTGGCAAAAACCTTTTGTAACTTCGGTAGGGAATTTTCGAAACTTTTGTGGTGAACCTTTGGAACTTTAATCACAATTTTGTAATTTTTTGTGGTAAATTTTCTAAGACTGTTAAGCCCTTCTAGCAATTTTGTAATTTCTTGTAGTAAATTTTCTAAGACTGTTAAGCCCTTCTGGCAAAACCCTTTTGGACCCTGGGTCCATTTTAAGAGGGGGAGGATGAGACGGTGTCCGTTTCCCCCACTCCCATTTTTCGAGATGCGAGTGGCGGTGACGTCACTGTCTCCCTGAGCCAAGTTCGCCGATCAGCTGAGCCGTCGCCATTTTCTTCTTCAGTCAGTGCTCCGCTTCGCTCTCGGCCGGTCGACGATCTTGGTTCCGACCGACTTTTCCATCTTTTCTGTTCTTTCGCCAATGTAGTTTTTCTTTGTAGTTTTTTCCATCCAGATCTCGAGGATCTGTTCACTTGTTTGTAGTGTTTGTCACCAGCCGTGTTGAGTGAATAAATCTCTATTCGTTCTCCGCAAGCGCGCCTTTTCATTTTCCTACCTCACCTCACTAGAGCCTATCGGCTGCCTTCTGTGGGTTTTTCTTTTTAAGGCCTTCAGCCGTTTGTCAGCTTCTCTCGTTTTAAGTCGTTTTCAAAATACTCACAGACTTGAAGTAAGAAGCAACATATTAGTTGTTAAACAATGCATTTCAGAAAATGAAAGATTTTCTGTCCGACAAAAAAGAATGCTGACAGTGTTTCAATGCATGTCTGTTACAAATTGCCGAACTTGGTGATAATTCAGCAAATTAGCGCAGGTTTTTTCGGGAAATTTTTCTTTCTGGAGGAAGTTTCAAAACTTGCAGGACATCATTGCTGTAAGCTCTCTGACCCCTTAAATTTTCATTTTTGGTAACAGTTTGTTGGACTGCTCTATTGGGCCTGCTTACATGACTTTAGCGGCTATCGATAGGAGAAACTCTGTTGATGAGTTCGATTTATTTAGATTTTAGATACAAGTACCAGTTATTTTATAATTGGATGGACCAGGAAGTAAGCAAGGTAAGGGAGGAAGGGGTAAGGAACATTTTCAAAAAATGTGACAAATAAGTATCATGCCAATCCAGTTTCAGAAAACTTCTGCTATGTCATCTCCAAAAGAAGTTTTTATCTATGCCCACAGATTTTCAGAGGGCGAAATTTTTTAACCAGAAGCCAGGGTATGAAGGTTCAAGTCTAGCAATTCTCTGCTTAACTAAAAAAAGGTCTTGCTGTGCAAGAGATAAAGCAATGACAAGTATTACCAACAGTGCTGAATTTCAAAAGGGTGCTTCTGATTGTATTTGAATCATTTGTAATAATAGACGTCAACAAAGAGCCTTCAGGGATGATCCAAGATTTGTCAACTGAATGGCTATGAGCGATGACAGATCTCCTGGGTTTGGGCTCTGTTAAATTTTTGCTATAATGAGCTAGTCCAAACTGTGCAATTTGAGTAGGATAAAAATACCCGGCTGGTTTCCATTGCGTGGTGACAGGAACTCCTGCAGAACAAGAGGAAGAACAAAAAATTAAGGGATAGAAAATGCCGCTTTTTTTGAAATTGGATGTGTCTATGGAAACAGAGACTGTGGGTAGAGTAGGCCATGTAGAGGCATCAGTTCAGGACAAGTATCTTTTATTAGATACACAATATTAAAAGAGAGTGTTGTTTAGTCGTTCCAGGACAAAGACAAGCACCAGAAAAAGTCACTCAATATTCCATTAAAAGCAAGTGCTAGTTGGGCTCTATAGTCTCCTCATAGGGCGCTTAAAATCAACTTTAATCAAGTTTAAATGTACATAAAAAACTCAAATCAGAGGTTAGATTTGTTACCAAAACTCATGCGCCAGCACAAGGGGAGTGTTCATCGCACCATCAAAATGAAACCTATCGACGGTACTGACAAGGATGTATTGACGATCCTGGAACGACTTCCCAGACCGCCTTAGAGTACAAGTAGGAGGTCACATCCACGTATCACAACTCAAAATGGTACTCCAGAAATGATACACACCACACTAGAGCACTGAAGTTATTAAGATTGTCAGCGTCAATCGAACATTCCAATCACCTACGATCTGAAAGACATGCACGGTGGGATTATTACAGAGAAATTCCGCTGTAAAGAGCTTTAACCCACTAACTACAAGGATACGTTCCTCGTGAGGAAAGGTCTGCGTCCGCCGCATCTATCGCTAGAAGAACCAAGGTTTCTTCGAGAAGTCAGGTCTGGATGCTAGTCACAACAGTTGGATCAATGGCTGGGATGTTGTTTAACCGTAAAATTAGTATTAATCTCTTCTGCCGACAAGACATAATCATACGTAAGAATCCATGTTAGGATGAAAAAAAGGGGATCGACAAGGTCGATAACAGTAACGCTAACGCTACTGATAACGATTACAGTAATGATAAAGGTAACGTTGGCGGTAACAGAGCAATGCATTAAAAAAAAAAAATATTATGGATCCCATCTAATATTCTAATATTATAACCCCATACCGAAATGTCCATTACTAGAGTCCGCAACTCCATGCTAATATCCACAATTAGATACCAAAATCTACAGGCCTAAAATCCGAGATTCTGAATTCTGATACACACCCACAGCGTTCTCATACAAGTCCCTGCGGCGATAGCCACATTCCTAGACAGGAATAAGGTATCTCCCCCGGATTGAAAGGAAAACATGCCCTGAGTGCAGTATTACCTCAGATTGAAGGGGCAACATGCGATACACTTCACCTCCTTAATTCAACACCGCCCACCCCTTCTTCCATCTAATTCATATTTTCGATGCATAACTTTACAACACCGCCCACCCCACCCCCACAATTTTAATTCATATTTTTGTGCATAATGTGGTACAATGTCTGTGCTTAAACTCTTCTTTGTATACTACTGAAGTGTGGACCACAAGGAAAAAATGAGGAGAAAGTGGGCGAAATGTTGCGGGTGCGGGCGCTGCGTCCTCCGGTTGCGAAAAACGACCGGAAAGACCTCCGCGCGACAGAGGAGCAGGCGAAAAACGAGACCACCCCACCCTTTTGGTTTTGGTTTTATTTTCAATCGACTGATGAGTAGAATCAAATAAGTTTTGCTCTACCATGTCTCCCGACTTTTTAGCCCTTCAAAATGGAAAAATCTGACCTTTTTTCTATAAGTTAGTTCAAAATTTTACGCTTAATCAGATCCAAACATCGTTTTAGGCAGTTTTTGCCATTTAATATCAGAATTTTGGCCCTAAACAGCTGAAATGTCCTGTACCGTAGCCTGTCTGCGACTCAAGTGCGCAACTTTAACGCTTCATAACCATCACCTTGCATCTAAATACTTCCACTTTTGCTGTAAATTCACACTCAACTTGTACCTAACTTATTATTTTCAGTTATATTCATCCGAATAAGTGAAAATATTGACCGTCTATGCGTCAAGCAGCCTTGTCTGCGGAATTCGCGTCCTGTACCGTAGCCCCCTTTTTTCAGCATCATTTCGTCCGTTAGAGTGCAGCACTCATGAACTTTGTTTACTTTTTTTGCGTTATCGTGACTATCACACGCTGATGTCGAGCAGAGGAAAAAAAACCGCAATGAAACAGTAAATTTTGACCGTTTTTTATGAGTTTCTAGGTTTAACGACCATCT